GCTGCGTTAACCTTGTGTTCTACTCTGGCTTTTATTTATTTTTTTCCCCCCAACCTAGCAATGGCTCTCCAAACCATCAGCCCGAGCCACCCCCTCCAATCGCAGATGTAAGTCACACCTCAGAGCTTATGCTTGTGGTAAGGATGGTGCACAGGTCGGAAAATGGGATTTGGGGATGGATTGGGGGGGGGCTGTGGGTTTTCTGGGGAAGAGACAGCTCTAGTTTAATGTCTTTGGGGAGTTATAACTTCTTTTTGACTCCTAGTTGGAAAAAGAGGTGATGGGGTGAAAAATGTCCAGTATGGCAATGCAGAGCTGTGAGCAAGCTTTTTGTAAAGGTCACAGCGAGCTACTTATTGCCTTGATCTTCACTATGCTTTCTCCTTTGCTTCCTTCCTCTTCCTCTGTCCCCCTGAAGCCTTTTCAATCAAAACCTGTCCAGGCTGCAGCCTGTATTGTGCTTGCGCTGTGAGCCTGGCTCACTAGGGTCTCGATTTAGGGCTGTGATTATAAACACTGACTGAGCTGACCCATGCTTGTTCCTCAGTGGAAATGCTTCCGCGTCACCTCTGCGGCTGTGACCCTTCTTTTCCTGTGTTGCAGAACCTCTTGCCCACCAGCACGCCCCAGGAGGCCCAGCAATGGCTGCATCGAAACCGCTTCTCCACTTTTTCTCGCCTTTTCAGAAACTTCTCAGGTATGGTTATGACATCCCCTCTCTCTCTGCCCCTTCTCTGTGCCAAGTCGCTCTGTCTCCTCTTGCTCCCATCTCCCTGTTACTGTTGCAAATAGAAATGTTTTTTAAAATATTTTGTAACACAATAAAACGTCGCTCCCTGAAAGCTGTGTTCTTCGTTTCTCACCTCGCTCTCAACTATCAAAATAGCCGGGACTGGGGTGGTTTCTCTCCCAAGAGCTCGCAGCACCCTCTGATCTTAAAACAAGCTGAGAAATGCTGATCTGGGGGAAAGCACTGCGTGTAAAGAAATGCTTCGGATTTGTTTTCCTCTCCTTCCCTGGTGATACGGCCTCTGTTATCCAGGGTCACCGAGGTGCTGGATAACCGGCCGTAAATGATAATATGGGACATGGGGTTGTACCAAAACACACTCTTGCAAAACAAGTCTGGGAAAAAAAAATATGTTACGAGCATCCTTCTGGCGAGGGGCAACCAGGGGCAGGTTGTTAGCAAAATGCAGAAGCCATTTGGGAATGGGGTGAGCTCTCCGAGCATGAGGAGGGGGAACTGGCACAGCTGCGGTGCCCAGAGCCCTGACCCCATCCCAGATACTTTGAGCAGAATGATGTGACTTTATCTCCTTTTAATTTTTTTAAAATTGTAGGTGCAGACTTACTGAAGCTGACCAGAGAAGATGTTATCCAGATCTGCGGCCCTGCAGATGGCATCAGGCTCTTCAACGCGTTAAAAGGACGGTATGTTGTTTGCTTAAAAGCTGATTATGGATCGTAGGTAAATTGTATTTGTTTTAGCCTGTTTGCTTGGCTCTTGCTATTAGAGAGAACAGAGTTTAATTAACCTTTCTGAACCTCTTCCAGTCAAATTTGATAACTTAGCCAGCAGGGTAACCGCTCCAGAGACAATTTACGGAAGAAAAATCCATGTGGGAGAGAGGCATTAGAAATGATCTTACTCTTCGAGTGTCAGAGAACCAAGCCGCAAGCCAGAAAGTCCTGCCAATACAGTAGTTGTTTCCTCCGTCCTCTGAACCGCCTCTCAGTGGAATTACCTTCCCAGAAAGGGAATATTCCTTTGCACCTTTCCCCAAAGAAGCAGGGACTGGTGTTTAACTGACCTCTTGTCTGAGCTGGAGCATTTCAGAAGGCTTTCTGAGCTGGAGCTGGATGTAAAGGCACAGGGTGGGCTGTATCTGGGAGGGAAGGTCTGGGGAAGCATTGGTGGGGGTCTCTGATACGGGGCAGCAAGAGCAGGGCGGGTGGAAAATATTCCAGGGGGTTAATGTACTGCCTTCGATGCCTCGGGAGAGAGCGGGGGAAGCGTGGCTGGGTTGTGCTGGGGTGACGGGAGATGCTGCCGGTTTTTTGCACTGCAGAATGAGACTCTGAACGAGGAGGAGTGTGTGTGTTGCCCAGAGAGCTCGGTCTGAACCGTAGCTGCTCTGTTCTTGGGAGTGAACCATCCAATTTAGCTGGCACCACGTCCCCGTACCGACTTCATCCCCTTCTCGCAAAAACTTTTGCTGCCTCAGCAAGTTGGAGACGACCACGATGATTTTGCATCGAGATGAGTTCGTCGATCTCCTCTTTTCCTTCTGAGGATACTGAGGAGGGAAGAGAGCTGGCAAAATGTTGGGAACTAGAGGTATCCTTGAGGAAATACGATGGCGTTCACTCGCTGCTCTGTCCGTAGGATGGTGCGGCCCAGACTGACCATCTACGTCTGTCAGGAGTCCCAGCAGCTGAGGGACCTCCAGCAAAAACACGAGGATGGGGACACAGTAACCAGTACTTTTTTTGGTAAGGGTTTCCAAGCCTGGCTGGGGGCACGTGGCTTTGGGTTGCTACCGACAAGGCGAGGGGGGGGGAAATAACACCCCCGGGGTGGGGGGTTCAGCAAACAGAAATGCAGTGGAGGTTGTTTCCAGCCCCGCTACTGCTGCCCACGGGTGCTCAGCACCAGTTGCCTCCCATCCCCACACTGCTGCCCTGTGGGTTTGGGGCTGGGGAAAGGCCGCTCTCGCAGCTGGGGCTGCTTGTGTTACCTGAGCACGCACAGCAGCTCCAAGAGGGTTCTGTGGCTTTTGTTTTCAGCCGCTACGCCTAGTGTCGGCTGCTGTGGTCCTCGCCTCCTCGCTGCAAGGAGGCAGGGAGCTCACCTGCGACCTAACGCAGGCTCTGTACACAAACTGAGGGGTTGTGCCTGCTCCCCTTTGGCAAGGGTACCAAAAAAATCACAGCGAACCCTTTTTTACTTGCCCTGGTCCTACCCAGCTGATTTTTTTCCTTGCCCACTAAATGGGTGGCTGCAGAATCTTGACTGTCGGCATTTTGCCTGCTCTGAGCCGACAAACGATAGCTCCTGCGAGAATCCAGCATTGCCCAGACAACAATGAGTGACCTACATTTGGTGGAGCAGCCAGGCGCCGGTTTATCCATCTCCGTGATTGGAGCGGCAAGTGCAAAAGCAAACAGCTCGTCCTTTCCTTGCCCTGCTCCAATTCGGATCCTCTCGCTTCCCCCACTCAGGGAGTGAGGGAACAGGGGGGCAGGGAGGGGCTCCGGGGAGGCGCTAGGGCAGAATTTCCATCCTTCTGGGATTGAAAACTGCCAGGAATGGTACAGAACACTGCTCAGCTGATGCTAGTCGAAATAAAAAGCTTTTTGGGGCAAGAACTGCATAAATACAGAGCAAGCATTGCAGGACATCGATGACAGCCAAGTTACCGCAGAGCTGATGCTTATGTAGCTCAGGGAACGCAGCAGCCGTGTAGCAAGAGTGGATGCCAGAGATGTGCGCAGTTCCGTGTAGATTTAGCAGCTTGGGCTTGGAAAGGCAATCACTGTGTGAGTTGGGCGCAGCAGAGCAGGTGTTTAACCTGCTAAAAAGCAAGGCTCGATAGATGGGGTGGGCGCAGTTCCCTTCCCAAGGGGGCTGTGATGTTTCTGGGCAGAGAGCAGACTGTTTGCGGGGCTCCTCTAAGCATCCACTCCTTAGGCCGGCGTGCGTGGCACTAGCTGAAACGTCTCTGCGTCCACGGTGTAGACATGGAAGCTGCGCTTGGTGTCTCGTGATAATAGTTCTTCTCCTTGCAGTGTACCACGCTATTTATCTGGAGGAACTGACGGCGGTGGAACTGACGGAAAAACTGGCCCAGCTCTTCAGCATCTCTTCTCAACAAATCAGTCAGATTTACAAGCAAGGTCCGACAGGAATACACGTGCTGATCAGTGATGAGGTAACAGCCTCTGGGTTCTCCTTATTTTCAGGCAGGGTCGCTTCAGCTGGGTCGTGTCCGATTGTGCTCTGAGCTCCACTGTGGAGGTTGCGCAGGACCCCGGGGAAGGAATTCCCCTGGGCAGGTCTTCAGGAAGGGCCCTGCTCAGTTGCCTCTCGTTTCCAAAGAGTCAGATTTAAATCATTGAAGTCTGTAGAGCCAAGGATTTTGGCGGTTGGGGATGTTGCTCTGCTGCTGAGGGCACCTCACTTAAACACGTGAAGTTTATCAGGCGTGAACAGCTCTCCGTGAGATAGTCCGGGCTGCGTGCACTCTCTCCTTCGTGCTTGGGTTTCTTCTAGCTTTCCTGTAAAAACAGGGAGGGGAATTGCTGTGGGAAGACTTTGCTTTCAGCCCCGCATCCCAGAATCCAATGGTTTTTCTCTCGGCTTGTTGGTTCGGACCTTCCGTTCTGGAGAGAGGAATAAATATTTATGGCTGGTGCCTTTCCTCCCTCCCAGAGCACTAAATTCCTGCCTGAGCAGCTTCAAGCCCTTTCAGTACTCTAAATCTGTGCCTATCGCTGAATGGCAGAACACAAAGCCTTCACTTAGGGCTGTGAAGCACTTGTGCCGTGTTTAAATACAGCCTGGATTTTGTGGCTTCTTTCAGATGATACAGAACTTCCAGGACGAATCCTGTTTCGTTCTGGACACCATGAAAGGTGTGTAAATACCTGGGCTCCATCTTGTCTTTCCCTTCCGTACTTCTTGGGGAGCATTACTGTCAGATCCGCTTGACCCAGCGGATTCCTTTGCTGTTGCGGATCACTCATGACCTTTGCTTTTTGTTTGCAGCTGAAACCAATGATAGCTACCACATCATCTTAAAATAGGAGGAGAAGGGCCGAGGGAACACCTGTGATCCTCTCGTCGCACATGAAGACCCTTCGATTCCAGCACAAGGACACGAGCAGAGATCTGGAAACTCCTGGGTACCTTCTGGAAAGACCCCGAGCTGTTGGTTACTCAGCTGTCTTTCTTGCAGGGAACCTCCTCGCTCTGACGGCATCTAAACAGCCGTTGATGGTAACGTGCTGCTTAATTGCTGGAACTCTGAGGCTTGAAGTTACCAGGTCGTGCTCTTGTGTAGCTCTCGGTAGAAATTTGCCATGGGGACCTAAGACCTGCGTGAGGGGTTTGTTTGTTGTTTTTTTTTTTTTTCTATGGCAGGCATGCTCTGCTTTTTGGAGAGGTATTGGCTCCCATGACACTCACAGACTGGCAAGAGAACATGAATTCAACTGGCCCAACAAAGCCAACTGGCCCTCGGGCACATGCTGAGCTGAGCAGGTCTCAAATACGCTATGTACTGTGCTGAGAGAGTGGTAGGCTAGGGCTGGGAGGGATTTTTTTCTTAAAAGATTTTGTTAAGCTTTCATTTAATATTACAACGCATCTGTTAGACAAAGGCGGTGACTTCGTTTTTTTTCTTCTCCACCCACCTGGAAAATGGTGTTGGCTTCGTGTGTGTGCGGGTGTGGTTGTGGTGCCATCCTTCTTCCTTTGCGAGCATAAGGTCGTCAGGAATTTTATATACGGATTTAGTTGTATAAAGCTGGAGCAAAACATGGAGTGAAGCGGAGTTGGATAAAGAAATAGGTCTTGGTCTGTGGGATTCTTTTCTGCATGTTTCAGGGAGAAAAAAAAAAGACTTGGCGCTCTCCGCTGAAAATTTTGAGCGATGTCTACCTGCTGCCTTGTTTTCTGTCCCCACATCCCCCTGCCCAGCCTCTGTAGCTGCCCCAGCGTTGGTGTAGCCCTGCAGGCACTGAGGAGGAGGCGGACAGCAAATTCAAAGGGTTCTTGAAAGCCCTTGGACTTGATGGTGACAAAAATGCCTCCGTGCAGGTTTCCAGGACAGCAGTGAAGTCTCCGGGGTGAAGGATCTGCCCTGCCGTGCAGGTGATAGATCCAATCCTCCATCCATAAGATCCCTCAGTAGAGACTGAGATGCCTGGGGAAACACCTGCCTCCAACCATCAGCGCTACCCGAGGACGTTTTGAGCCAAAAAAATAGGGAAAAAAACTACAATGTAAAGCCAGGCTCTGATTTTTAAATAAGGCTGCAATGAGATCCAGCCTAAGGCAGGTGATGTAGGTACTGACTTAGGCCGAGGAGGTCCTGTTGGGCGAGTGAAGGCACTGGTGGATGCGACAATCGCGATGGCCACGTCTCTGCTGCTAAAATACCGGCTGCTCTTCTGTTTTTTGTAAGCCATAAAAGATTCTGTTCCCATTTTCCTCAGTCATCTGTCGTCTTCTTGGAGATGCAGTCAAAATACCTAACACAAATGAGAACCTCCCCATCCTTTGCTTGCGCTGGCCGAGCTCCCACGGCCGCCGCTTGGTGCAAAGGGCTCCGCAGCGTCGCCATCTCCCTTCTCCGTTGTGTGTTAGCTTGGCACACGCTGGCTCCGGCACCGCAGGCAGGACATAGGTCAGCAGCTCCCCAAAACCATTGTTCTGGGCCACAACAGCTACCCCTCACCCCCAAAACCACCTCCCAGCTGCTTCCAGGGCTGGCTAGTGTTGGGGTTGGCAAGGAATTTGGAGGATCCAGAGGTTAATCCTGGGAACGGTCGTAGCTGAGTGTTGGCAGCGAATATCGAAGATCCTCTCTAGCTGGGCTTGTTTGCCCAGTGCTGTGTGAAGTTGGGGACCCGAACGCACTGATTGGGAATTTTGGCAGGGAGGAGGCGGCTGTTCGGTCTCCTCGGCTGGCTTTGAGACAGTTTGCTTCTCTAACCCTGGACCAGAGATACAAGCACGACCTGAGCTGCTGCAGGTCCTGCCCTGAGCCACCAAAGCCTTGTAAATCAGTTGGGTAAAGATGCCAAGAAAAGTAATTTAAAAAAAAAAAAAAGGAATAATTTTGCTCACTTCTCCCCATGAACACCAAGGAGCAGCCGGACTGCCAGCTCTGCGGGCAAAGGTGATCGTGTTCGGCCGCTCACCTTTTGTACATGTTTTGGTACCTCTGCTGCTTGGGAAGATGTGTATTTTAATCCTGGTTTTTTTCCTGTGAGTATACGAGAAGTGCAATGGACCTGTACGGTAGCGAGGCGGGCTTGGTAAACTCTTTGTATTGATGTTGCTGGATGCGTGTGGCTGACTTTAATCCATCAGATGAGGAGTTGCCAATGGATTTGTCGTGCATGGCGGCTCTGGGAGGAGAACGAAAACCCCCAGATGGAGGGGGTAGCAACAGGGCCAGTCCTTCCTCCAGCCCCAGTTGCTGGCTGGAAACAAGGGGGGAGATGAAGGGGTCGCAGTTGGGGAAAAGAAGAGGATTTTTTAATCCTATAACTTGACCTGCTTATTAGTTAATAACTCAGCTAATCCGTAATCCAGGGGGCCTCGTGAGGAGCCTGTCG